CCCCCCCCTGGCTACGCCACTGCACGTGTGCATCGATATACACAATTGCGTGCGAAATTGCAAAACGCTTTTCGTCTACCGCAGCACGTACGCCTCTAACAATCCATAAGCGCATTGCACTTTTTGCCCTAGTATGGTAAAGAAATAACACAAAAGGAACGCCGAAACGACTGCCTTTCGCTCGTTTGGAAAGGAAAAAAAACCATCACTAAAATGCAGAATTTTTTAATCATAGAAGCAGAGCATACATGAACTAGTGCATTATTTTTCTAACAATAAATCGAAAGAATTTGGTTGGCAACGTTATCAAAGTATTGTTTAGATACTAGAGTTAAATTTAAAAGCTATCTTCAATATGTTATTAGTCAAATCTGTTTCCTGGCGCTTCGGAACCGTGGAAAGGGCGGAGGGGACAGAGGGGGCGATTGTCCACCCAGAGATAATTCAGAGGAGGCTACGCCCCGCTGAAATTTTTCTGTTTTCTTCAGGTATTTCATGACCGAAAATATTGAGCATCAAATTTTGTTATATTTACATCAAAGCATATTTACATCAAAGATAGAAAAATGAGTTTTTTTTTCTTTTCTTTTTCTTTTTCCTTTTTTTTTACTACTTACTCGTTCAATTAAAGTACACTATATAACGAAGAAAATTAAGCGCATTAAGTTAATTGCAGCAAAAAATCTGTGCATATTTTTCGCACATTTATACTATCCACTGAGTGGCCTATTGTATGGTGTTTGAATGGAATTATATACATATACATATACATATTATGAATGTATTATGTATCCTCTTTATAAATTTTGCCCCCTCAGATGAAAAATACTTCCGCGACGCCTGTCTGTTTCCATATAAAACAAAAAGTTATCACACTTTATTATACATTTTATTGGGCGCAAAAGACAGCAATGTCATTGGCACTAACTATGCATTCACAGTCTCATATTTCCGGTTGACATTGTATCCAAGAAATTCAATGTTACAGTCAAACAGTCGTACTAACGTTTTGATAAATGCAATTTTCCGTCAGATACGGAGAAAGAGACGAAGAGTTCGATGCGCGCATGCACGTATGACGATTGAGTACGTTGTCAACGCAATTGCTTCTACTAGATTAGAAATCAATTTGCAATGTTTTCAATGGAATCGCGTTTGTGCAGAACTCTTACAATTTGGAGAAATGATTAAAGTAAGCTTCTTTTGCGATCAGTCAAGCTGTAATAATTATTATAATCACTAAAAATATCTTGTAATAACCAACAGAAAAAGCGTTATTTTATAACAAGATATATTATGTATCAAAAAAATTATTTTAAAAAAGTAAGAAAAATGTATTAAGAAACAACTATACAATTACTATATTTATTAAACATAATGCTTTTATATTATTTATTAAATGTTTAAATCAATAAATATTCTTTAAAAAAATACAATTTATCAAAGTGTAAAAATAAATAGGTACATCTGAATTTTGTAACGTTAAATCAGGAAATTTCTATAAAAAAAGTATTAGTTTTTAGGTAAAAAAAAATAATTAAATTAAAAAATTCTATGCATTACAATGTTTATTATCCGGTATAAAAAAATATCACAATATCTTATCTTATAATACAATGCTCATAAACCGTGAACAAAATTCACTAGGCAATCAATGAATGCAGTGATACCAATAATGTATTTTGTGTGGTAAATCGCAAACATAATAAATAATCACATCGGAGGAAGCGTAGTTATCAATGAAGTTTTACATTTCATCATAAAATAATCTCAGTACATAATAAAATTAAGGCTCCAAAATTAACAAAGCAATGTATTAATTTTTGATAATGAAATCTATAGTTTTTGTTTTTAAATAAAACATGTATCATATTACAGTTTTGATTCGTTTGCAATTTTTTTTTCATATTTCATGCTTAATCTAAAATATATATATATACATCATGCTTAATCTAAAATATATATATACATATATATGCTCTATATTCTAAGTCGAGAAAAAATATATATTATTTGTAAAAAAACTGTACTTTAAAACTATGTTTATATAATATAAAATTTTACATTTATTATGTATATGCATATAAGTACGTATATGTGTACTCACACACATTTTGTAAGGAAATATATATGTATACGTATTACATACGCGCGTAAACGCATACACATATACATGTATCATGTAAAGCGTATTATTATAAACTTAAAAGTTAATCTTAGAGCTTAATGTCGCCATTAGATTGTTCACTGATGTAACATTGTAAGTAGATGCTTGCTGTGCATCTTTTCTAGCTATGACTAAATTAAGAGATATGTTTGTTATGTCGTTCAATGTTGAGAATTTAGTGTTTTTTACTCTATTATCAATGTCATAAACATTTTCAATCGGCTTCTGCTGGTTTTCTTCGCTCGACAATGCCTTCTGCTGATTTTCTTCGTTCCATCGCTTTATGTAGTACTTCTTCATTGATATCCAAAGTGGATTGATAATGTTTTCAATCGGCTGCGCTACTGGAACGTTTCGTTTAAACGCTTCTAACTGATGTTTCTTAGCAAAAGTTGCATTCTTTCTTCGCAAAAGTGTACGCTTTCCATAATGTTTAATTATTTTGTGGACCCGTTCTCGGTGCATATGATAATCCCATTTCAGCGAAAATCCTTTTCCTGAAAAGATAATTTTGTCGTAAAAAATAATTCATCAAAATAGAACAAAACGGTTTAAAACACAAATACTTATTTCATATAATAAATAAATTCTTATAAAGATTAAATGTTTTCATAATCATACATCTTTAAAGCATATATGTAGTACAAATATAAAATAATTATACATATATGTTATAGACGCATATACGGATTATACTTATATGTAAGTAATTATGTGAAAAATGCATTGATTTTTGACTTGTTCAATTTAAATATTATAAATAAACTATAAAACAATAAAAATGTAATTGTAAAATAATTAGAGAATCTAATTAAAAAAAAAATATTTTTGGCGAGTTGAAATCTTTCCAATCTAATGGAAAGTGGGAAAAATTAATAGAAGTATATATATGTATTATCTTTTTCTTTTATCACCCCAGATATGTATAAGTAATATTTTAAATAGATTTCCACACACAATATATTAAGTTCATGGTAATTAATAATATTGAAAATTGAGAACCTGCAAAACCGGTTATTAGTTGCTTATTAATCTTCTTTATTTTAACACTTATACGTTTTGGTCAATTTTTTGACCATCTTCAATACATTATTCTAAATTTGATACTAATTCCATCAATCTTTTAATTATATAAGTCAAAAATAAAATTTTATTTTATAAACATATCTCAAATTTTAACAAACCTGAATCCTAATTAATATTGATTTCATTTATAATTACATATAATCAATCATTAACATAATTAACTAAAATAGTTAACTAAAATATCGTACAATTAATATTAATCTATATTTTTGTTTAATGTTTTTATCTATATTAATTTTTGTCTGTAAACATACCTCTGAGAATGCGAAGCCAAATTCACACTTGACTATTTTTAATGTGTACAGTAAGACCTACTGCGGACAACTGTGTTTAACATTTCATAATAACGTTGGTAGACTAAAAGAGGAAAGGAAAAAAGGAGAATTGGAAGGGGGACAAATGAGAAAAAAAAATCAGAAAGAGATTAAGGTGATTGAATTTTATAACTTTGGAAGTAAACTGGAGTACCGACAAATAAGAATTTGGAAGGAGATCAATGTCACTCTGTTTATTAAGTTTGCAGTTTTATCTTTTTATATGCAACATTTTGGATGTGAGTCTTTTATAATAGGATTTTTCATCGTCAAGTATCTCAACTTTGTTCCAATTGAATTAGTGGTTTAATTCTAATCTATGATTGGATATCACTGATGGCGACAAACTCTTTTTTATATCATTTTATGTTCCCGGATTCTTGTCCCTAATTGTCTCTTTCGCTGTTATATGTCGCTTCACAATTGTTGCACGAAATCTTGTAAACTACTCCGCTATAGAGCATTCTATCCAATTTATCTTTCTGTGTCTTAATGAATTTTGTGTCGTTATTGTGAGAGAAAGCTAATTTGAACTCATGTACTTTTGTTATCTTATGAAATTTTTCTGAGACACCTTTCACGTATGGTATGATAAAAAATTTTCTTTCAGAACTCCCCTCTCTATGTTTATCATTATTAATATTGCCTTTATGAAATATGTATTTTAATTTTTCTTTTATACTGAATTCAATTGTTACAGATTTTTTATTCCTATCATAAAAGAATGCAATTCACAATTGAGATAAAAGAAAGTGCTTATCTGAATTATTTGTGATTGGTTTAAGAAACCATCATTTTCTGGGGGGTTCTTAAATTTCTTTTCACAACACCCGATTATCCAAATTTAATGACCATATGTAATTATAAACGAAGTAGTCAACATTAATGTAGGATTCGTGTTCGTTAAAATTTGAGGTATGTTCATAAAATAAAATTTTATTCGTGACTTATATAATTAAAAGATTGATGGAATTTGTATATCAAAAGTAGGATAAGAACTATGTACTGAAGAAAATCAGAAGATTGACCGAAAGGTGTTAAAATAAAGATTAATAAGCAACCAACAACCGGCTTTGGCTCCAGATCTTCAACTTTCAATATTATTAATATTTTAGAGTTTAATTTTTAATAAATCGATCGATGTATTCAATTGCATCAATAAATCATGATTTATCTATGATTAAAGGAAAATAAGTGACTTTTGATTCATTTTACAATAAGTAAATAAAATGTACTTACCGCATTTCTTACATATTATCGACTCCTTCGGCAAATGGAAACGCTCATAGTGACGCCTAGCATTAAAAAACCTGTTAAAGATCCACAAGCACTTTACACATTGATATTGCTGTTTCTTGAGTATTTTTATTGTGGAAGTATTAACTGGATTGTTTTTATCTGAAAAATACAATTGTTATATATATTAGTACATTTGTGTCAAAAATCAATAATAGAGAAATCAATAGTTTCTCATAATTTCTAAAACAATGAATATCTGAAACAGAATTGAGACCGACTCTGCATTTTATATTATAGAACATAGAATGCGACAACACTCGTAAAACGAATATTTTACACGCTAGTTAATTAGAATCTCACTTTTTCGGAAAAAAATATACACGAAAATGATTCACACAGTATTAGATTATCATCATGTTAGTCGTTTCAATGTAGCCTAAAACTCTATGACATCCCTATGCAATTTTCATATGAGCATCCCTCATCAATATCATAGTGGAGAAAGAAAAAAAAGTGTTTTTGAAAAGCGTCTCTGACGCCTTTATGTAGCAAAAGAGAACGCTCTTGGATAACGTTGCTCCTTTTTACAAAAAATCAGACACACTTTCGCAGAGCGTCTTTTAAGGTTTGTCGCGTCGCAATACCCCAACATGCTCCTACTCGCTCCTACTCGCTCCAATACGCTTCAATCTATAGTATATACGTAACGTAAACTACTTTAGAAATACTCCTGTGCAAGGACATAGCTCGCGCGCGCGTCCGCGCTTCTCCCTCTAAAGCCAATCTTATCTTAATGTATCTTTTGTCTTGGATGAAAAGCGCAAGATAAAGTCGATATAAGTCCTTTGAATCGTATTGACAATTGTGATTGCAATTGACTGCGCCAATATATTACAAATCCAATTAATTTATTGTTAATTTTGTTATCAAATGCTCGATATGTTTTATTATTAAGTGTAACTTTATTTCATTTCACAATCCCGATGTTTGCTTATTATTTTGCTACGTAACTACATGACCGGATATAGCACGAAAATGTGTGTATTACGTAAATTACATATTAATGTAAATTTCGTAAAATTAACTGCTTATATATGCCACTAAAATATTCTCAGCTCGCTCAATTCTCAATTCAACTGTGATAAGATGAGCGTACAACGTAATGAATAAATACTATGAATATTACACTAAATATTATGAATATTATATTATATCACGCACACACACATACCGCATTTTGCTCGTGGTTTCGCCATTGTTATATTTCACGGTTCACAATCGAATATGAATACGTATAATCACGTTGCTCCATCAAAATCCTCTTACGAACTAAAGTATTGACTGCAGAAAACGCGTTAAAAGCGTGTAGTTTTCTCCCCACTCTTGGTCCTTTTGCGTTAGACTTCTTTCAATCAAAAGCCTGCCGCGTTTTGTCGGTTCCTTTGATTGTTAATTTGTTATGAAATCGGCGTTTTGATCTTGTTTGGTCGGTAAAACACTGAGCAAAACAAATATAGCGGTGCACACACGCATATCTTCTATTCATGACAAAATGGTTCCCGACATTAGGGTCTTCGCAGAATGAGTTATTTATAGGAAACTGACAAGACAAACTGACAGTGATTTATGACTTAATAAGGGTCAAATAAGGACTGGTCTATAATGTACTCCTTGCTCTCTGTTTTTCATATTCTTTTGCTTTTTATGTATTGTATTTGTCGCATGGAGTCAAGAAATTGCGATTTAAGAAAAAGCGCATTTTAACGGCCGGTTTATAAGCACAATATGCAAACGAAGGCAAATATGCGCGGATGCAATTAACGCTGATTATTATTCGGGAATGGTGTCTCTTATCGAAATTCTCTTGGTGTTACCTCTCAGCAGACAGAAACCGTTTAAAATGCATAGCATCTGTTGACCAAATAGCATCGAAAGTGTTTCGAGAACATCGCGGATGTTACATAGGAAATCTGTGAGTACATGCGATGCGGCGATTCGTGAAATTGACAACGATAACCATTGAATAGCATCGCCTAGCTGCCTTGCATGAAAAGTAGCGCTTGATTTTGCTGATAATAGAACGCGTCGCAAATACCTTTACATATAAAACATAAAATTATTGCAATTGCAAGTAACAAATTATAAAATTATAAATTGCTATTTAATTTTTTCTTTATATATTATCACTTTTATAAATCAGTCTGTTAGTGTTACCAAAGTTGTAAACTGATTTTGGAGTAATGCATGCGTAACACATAATTACAGATATTATAATTACACATAATTACGGAATACTACATAATTTTGACTTTAAAAATATTGTTCACATGTATTGCGATTTATATATTAACTGAATTTAAAGCTATGAAAAAAATAATCGAAATATGAAATATAAATTTTGTGCAATAATTATTGAGAAATTAATTAAAAAGAATTGATGACTAAGCACACGTTTTATGCGGGAAGATTGTGAGATGTACATATGTTCTAGGCGTGTCAGCGGCGAGTATGGCAACGAAAAGTTCGATGTGTGGCGAGGGATAACATAGATATTGTTAAAAACAGAAAAAAAATTTAGGATCTCTCTGTAATTGCGCAATCGAGTAATTCGGATTTTTCATTATGCAGCGAGAAGAACCGCAATTATCCACGGACTCGCTTTCCCGCGCAGCATTTATCAAGTGCGCAACGAGAAACGGTTGATTTCCCAAGCGAGTTTGCATCTACAATCGCGCATGCAAGCGTAGTATTTTGCCCATATTCGTGCAAATATTGTGATAGTAAGCGTTCATAGTTATCTCTTTGATCCACTAGTCATACAGCAGCTCTTATTGTTAATATATAATAGTAATGATTATTTTTACAACTTGGAACTAATAACTTTTTTTGTTGCCACTGTCTCTCGGCTGAAAATATTAAAATATTATTTCACCGAATAATCGATTGAAAGAAAATGCTGAAAATGTGTGGTCATCGGTCCATTTGTGAGCGTTAGTGAGCCAGGAATGAAAAATGTGCGGCTATTCTTATCAGTGCGCCATAATGTAACGGACGTGTTCGGATGCATGTGGAAAACGTTCTCAGCCATTTCCTTGGAAGGAATATAGCGGCGAAGGATTCGCTGCGGGTTGGTACGAAAGAATTATTATGCGAAAAGTTCCGTGTTCCTCGTTTCTTCCCTGATGGACGATTAAAAGTTCCATCCGAGTCGAATTTACAAATTCCTTCGGGAGCCTTCTCGTCGGAGCGTCGGCATTAGAGTTCTCGCCGCCGTCCAGCTCCGAAATTAACCAACCTCCACTAAGTCGTCCAGCTCCGAATTAGAATTTAAATCCGCGGAAACCGCCCGCATCTAATAGCGTGCTTTCTTTTGACCGTGATTAAGAGTCGGAACACTGATCCAGCGTATCTTTAACCCATTGTTATTTACAGTTTTTGTAATGAAATTACTTGCACGAGATATTTTTACACTCCAACATTACATCCTTATCATCAGTATTTTATTTCATATTTTTTGATGAAATAAAAATTGATATTATTTTTTTTTATTTATATAATTTTATTAATATTATTTTAAATCCTATAGAAAAATAAAAAATAGTTATTGTACATTTGTAATAGATTAATATCGTTAGTTTGAGAGAATATTCAAACCCCCCAATAAATGCTAGAAATTAGAAAGTCAGTAATAGAAATAATTAAAATAAATTTTTAATTGAAATAAAAGTTTTGCAAAAAACTATCACCAATTAAATATCAATTAAATATAAAATGTGTTATTATAAAATAACGTTGTTATATTTTTGTTGATTCGTACAATTTAACTTTAAACTCATAATTTTTACTTTCTCATACAAAAATCTGTTTACGTAAACAAACAAATAATGTTTTATATTATTTACTCATGTTTAGCAATGTAATCATAATTCACGATTCTTGTGATTAAAATTTGAATATGATCACGTGATTATTGCATGACCGTGACGTCACGATATCTATTTTGCAGCAGCGTAGGATTATATCGACAAGGATAATATCGAATGTATGTCGGTGGTGCGCAAATTCTTTTGTACGAAGTAAATCCATATAATTCATATCGAGAGAATCAAATTCAGCGACAAGCTGAATGTTCGTGGAATTATTAATTAGCGGTATAGTGGTAATTATTAATCTTTCGATATTCACATAACCAATTGCATTTATCCCATCATATAGGATATATCTTATTTAAATATTCGCATTTGCGAGCATTCGCAAAATTGCTATGTTTTTTGAAATTTTTAAATGTGTATATTTTTATCATGATTCACAAATAGTCGTTATTCCAGTTTTGAATAGATATTTGAACATAATCACATGATCTGATCAAGTGACGTCACAAGTGCCGTTTAGTACACGGTAAGATGGCGAGTGTTTCGTACGCGAGTGAGTATCGTCTTGTATTATGCACGTGTTTTCTCTTGTTCGGAGAGAATTATGTGCGCAAACAAGTGTCGGTAGTGTTGAACTGGGCGATGAGCGATCGCCTTCGCGTATTAATTACTGCGTGCGGTCACGATTACTAATCTTTCGACGCTCGTATATCCAATTGCACCGACCTGTCGCGTTGAAGGCAATGGCGAAAGCAACGGTGCGAAGTTGCTCCGTCTTTCGAACTTCTTAAGTGTATCTCGGGAGTGTCGATCAAATCGGGCGAGTATCGTGTTTCGCGTTAGAAAGTGCATCGCGTTTGTACGGTTTGGGACTGCTGCGTGAATTGATTGATATTGAAAGCGCCGCACAAAAACATGCATTTGGAGCGATTGATGGACGCCGAATTGCAACGGCGAGATGCCAACTAGTGAGTTTTGATATTATAATACAATGATTAACTGCGATGAAAAATATATATTTCGATTTCAAGGTTACATTCTTTACAAAAAGTTACATTCGTTTTTCTAATTATGAAGAATGCAATTCGATGTAAACATTCGTGCACACTCGATGATCAAGAGTGTTTGTCAGGGTTGCCCGCCGTCGATCGCAGGGCCGATGGACGCGCCGCGTAGTACGAGCGAAGAGGTGAGAGAGAACGCGAGGGGAGTCGAACGCGCATGCGGTTAAACATCAGCGGGTCGTCGCGGATGGATCGTGACGGTAGCCGGCAGTCGAAGCCGGTCGCTCGTCGTGTGAGCGTTGCGTAGTTGGCGGTTCTCGCGCAGCTGATTGACGCGAACTATCATCCGTTGTCGCGTTTTAGAAACGTTTGGTTCCATCACGGTTGAAACGCGCGTTCGCGACTTGTGCTTTATTGGTGCGCGGTCCGCAGTTGTGTCCAGTGTCAAGTGTGTGATAGATAAGGAGCACGACAGAGAGATAAAACTGCGTCCGTTCAATTCAAGCGACTTCGCAGCGACGTCGGTGAGTCAAATGTATTCATTGATTGTACCGTCATTCAAAACATTCCAGATATTTTCTGTTATTACACAACTTTTTATCCTTGAAATTTTTTGGTCATTTGTATCCTTCTGTTTCCTGTGTTTTCTCTTGTTGTTTTCAAGGTCTCGTTTATTGTTCCGGAAACAAATGTGTCAGAGCTAGAGAACTAATTTTACTTCGATTTTACGTCAGACTTTTGTTAAAATTTACTTTATATTAGGTTATAAAATAGAACTGCAAGATTATTCCAAACATACATTTTTCTCTTAAAATAGAATTTTATAGAATATTTTTATCATGCATAATTATATTTGTTTTTAAATTAGCATAACCACGTATTATAATCGTTTAATGTGAAAATATCGGTGACATAGTTCTTGCTGTTCGTTCATTTGAAAAGTATAGTATTTTTTACACGATCGAGTGGATCTAAAGCGAAAGCTACGGCGAAAGTCAACTTGTCGCGGTCTGAAAACGCAATGCTACGTACGATCAACCCTTATGTCACGCTGCATATAACATCGCAAGCATGCAAGCTTCGAGCGCACCTGTTTATGTAGGTCGCGTATAATGCGTTATCGTTTGGATGTCAAAAGTAGCTCGTGGATAGGAAATTTTCTATGATTTTATGTCTCTTATCGAATGATCCTTGAACGAGATGGAAATCCAGTGGCTCTTGAATGAGATCTCTGAATGAGAGGGGCAGAAAGTGTTTGAATGCTGCGTTAAATCCGTCGTTGAAAAAAATCGAGAAGAGATATTCG